CGCTCGATTCGAACTTCTGGCGAATATGTAGTCCATATTGGAATCTCTAAAAAGATTCATATTTAGAAACAGCGGGAGTTAAATAAAGTTTTTTTTTTGCACGGAGAATAAAGAAGGAATTTTTTTTTGCGGGTAGAAGAAAGAAGGAAACAAAACAGCAAAAAAGAATGGAAACAGAGAAAACTATTGAGTGACATCAAACCCTACTCACGCCTTTCCATCAACATCTCTGGCCAAACTAAATCCCAGCATGTCTTTGTTACAAATGACAAATTGAGACCCAAAATAAGGGGGGAAATACACAACCCCAAACCTAGCCACACTGCAAATAGGTTTCAAAATTCTGAGATTCTGACTCAATCTCGTTAAACCTGTCAGCGTGTACGATTCCTTGTCACTGGATGTGGTGATCCTTTCACATATTGACATCTTGTTCAGCCTGAGATTCATTTTTTGCCACGAGAAACGATGTTCAACTTGCATGATTTGGGCCATCATGTTGATCTTGCTGTCAGTCGGCGTGCACGATGCAAATGATTGGAAAGTCGCCTCTGAATGAGAGTCGCACAAGTTGGGAATTCAAGATGGACAAAATTCAAGATGGGAGTATATAGATTTCAAGTTCATCGGATGTTCCTAGTAACTTACAGGGCGACGCGATCAAAATCATGGACGAGTCTACGCAGCTCGTTGGCCTGCCCGAGCGGCCGGCCTAAATTTTTTTTTAACCTGAAATCTCTTCCTGATCGGAAGGCTCTTGCGCCAGGTGCCACAACCGCGAACCGTCTGGCGTTTAGCGGCCAGCTCCTCGCTGTCGCTGACCGCCGAGCCCTCATCCGCTTCATCGCGCTCGCCGGCGCCCCCGGCTACGGCCTGTTCGCATCCCCGCTCCTCGCCGCCCGTCGGCTCCGAGCTCCACCTCTTCGAGCACTTCCTCTTCTCCTGTCTCCTTCTCCGATCCCGCCGCCTCCGCGTACGCCCCGATCCACAAATCGCGCCCCGCATCCAGTCCTGGGTCTCCACCCTCGCGCCCACTGCCGGCGGCACACGCAAGCCGGGGCAAAAATCGGAGCTCTGTCTGTATCTCGAGCTGTTGTACGCCTGCCTTAGGGAGTTCGTGCCGACTGTGTGCAAGCCGTTGCGCCGGCTCACTGGCACCCTCCTCCAGCGACCGATACCGCCGACCCTTTCGCCCCCGCTGAGTTCTTCCTCCACATGCTCGTCGGGGTGGACTTCTGGCCGCTGCCCGTGCAGACGTACCATGTCTTCGTACTCAAGCTGCCCTCCCGTGCTCGAGTTGAGCGAGCAGTCAAGCTGCTCGTCGATGACGAGTCGTCATGTACCTGAAGAGACTGCTGTGTTGGTGGTCCTGCACGCATGGTGTTTGAAGAAATGGCAGTGAGGAATGTGGTCTGCGATAGCGAGGCTTGATTCTGGAATCCCATGATACAGAGGCCTATGCATGAAGCGATGGTGTCCCTAACCAAAGCAACTAGGACCCTCTTTGGTAAACCTCGGGGAGAAACAACTCTCACACACCTGCAGCTTAAACTCATTCATAAGATTGATAGAAAACAATCAAGGAAATTACTTTGGTTAGAACATAGTTGGCTATGGTAGTAGTTCAAGTTGGATTTAACCCTTAGGAAGTTGCACAACACGGTGGTACTAAGTTTGCTAGATGTTTTCTTAAGTTAATCTATTTTTTCTAGTCATTTTTTTGTTGGCATCCGCAACAGTTGTAGTTGCACACATAGTAGTTCTCAGTTGGATATGATCATTGAAAAATTGCACAACATGGCGACACTAAATTTGCTAGATGATGTTTATTCTTAAGTTAATTTATTTTTTCTAGTCACTTTTTTTGTTGGCATCCGCAGCAGTTGTAGTTGCACACATAGTAGTTCTCAGTTGGATATGATCATTGAAAAGTTGCACAACACGGCGACACTAAGTTTGCTAGATGATGTTTATTCTTAAGTTAATCTATTTTTTCTAGTCACTTTTTATGTTGGCATCCGTAGTAGTTGTAGTTGCACACATAGTATTTCTCAGTTGGATATGCTCATTGGAAAATTGCACAACATCGCGATACTAAGTTTGCTAGATGATATTTTTTTTTCTTAACTAATCTATTTTTTCTAGTCATTTTTTTGTTGGCACCCGCAGTAGTTGTAGTTGCACATATAATAGTTTTTAGTTGGATATAATAATTGGGAAGTTGCACGATGATTCTAAGTTTGATAGATGATGTTTTTATTAAGTTAATCTATTTTCCTATTCACTCTTTTGTTGGAATCTGCAATAGTTCTAATTGCACACATAGTAATTCTCGGTTAGATAAGAAACTTTCAAAGTTACAAAACGGAGTGTTTTCAAAAAATATACTCAAAATAGACCCTTACAATCATTTGAACCCCACCAATCACCCCCTTTTCCTCTTTTCCTTTGCCTATCGTTTTCTCCATAGATCCCATCGCGATGGAACTTGAGGCTACAACGAGCTCGCCCGCCCTCCTCGACCGCGTCCATTACGAGCATGTCGCTCCGCCTCGGCCGCTCCCAAGCGCACCTCCACCTGCGCTCGTCCACCTCGATCGCGGGCATATTGATGGAAGTAGCTGCCACCACGAGCCCGCATGCCCGTCCGCCTCAGCCATGGCCATCTCGCCGGCAGTGGCGCTAGGAAGGAAGAGTAGGTCGCATTTTGCTCCCTACCAGGGCCGTTGTCTGCCTCGACCGTGACCATCTTGCCGCCACCCCGTATGGCGCCGCCCATGCTCCATTCTCATCATGCTTGACCACAGGTGTCGTAATCTTCGGTTGTTCAAGCTTTGATCAACGATTGAGACGGGGAATCGAACCTCCCCGTGAAGAATCAAAGATTGAAGGCGGCTCAATTGGATATGATCATTGGAAAGTTTCACACACAGCGATACTAAGTTGGCTAGATGACATGTCATGCTGGCATTGAATGTTTGGTACCTTAAATATTGTTCATGTATCACTCTTTCGTATTTGAATGATATTAGCTTTTTTTAGCAACAAATTGATTTAGTTTGCATCAAAGTTTTTCTCTCTAATAGGGGCAAACACATTTCATGATTAAGCAGAAGAAGTTGCACAATCATGCTTCTAAAGTCGCTCATGGACTGTCAAGCAGTTGGCTGGTGTAGCTGCTGAAGTTGCACATCCTACTGGTAGGGGTAGTTGGGGCTGGAGTGTCCACAGGTAGGGAAGAAAGCCGGACATCAACTGCGACTGTTGGGCCATGGCAGCAGATGAAGTTGTATATCTCACATCCGCGGAATAGGGGGAAGTTGCGCATCGACTACTAAGCAGTTGGCCAGGACAGCAGACGAAGTTGCACAACGACTGGTAGGCAATTGGCCGGGCAGCAGAGGAAGTTGCACAACGGCTGGTAGGCAGTTGGCCGGGCAGCAGACGAAGTTGCACACCGTTGGGTAGGCAGTTGGCTGGGGCAGCAGATGAAGTTGCAAATCTCAATGGCAAGGGTTGTTGAGGTGGTCAAACACTCTCACCAGCATAATAGCTCACGTATGACTGTGGAAGTGGCACACGCGCATCACCATAGTCGCACACACATGATCACGGAGCGATACACTCTTGTTGGCGCATTCGTACACGCGTATCTAACTAAGAACGATTATGTGTGCAATTAGAACTACTATAAATGCCAACAAAAATGATCACCGTGTGTGCAACTTCCCAATGATCATATCCAATTGAAAACAACTATGTGCGCAACTAGAACTACTATAGATGCCGACAAAAAATGATCTTCATGTATGCAACTTCCCAATGATCGTATCCAATTGAAAACAACTATGTGTGCAACTAGAACTACTATAGATGGCAACAAAAAATGATCGTCATATGTGCAACATCCCAATGATTGTATCCAACTAAGAACGATTATGTGTACAATTAGAACTACTATAGATGCCAACAAAAAATGATCTTCATGTATGCAACTTCCCAATGATCGTATCCAATTGAAAACAACTATGTGTGCAACTACAACTACTATAGATGGCAACAAAAAAATGATCGTCATGTGTGCAACATCCCAATGATCGTATCCAACTGAGAACGATTATGTGTACAATTAGAACTACTATAGATGCCAACAAAAAATGATCATCATGTGTGCAACTTCCCAATGATCATATCCAATTGAAAACAACTATGTGTGCAACTAGAACTAGTATAGATGCCAACAAAAAATGATCGTCATGTGTGCAATTTTTCAATGATTTTATCCAAATGAAAATAGCTATATGTACAACTACAACTACTATAGATAATATCATCTCCGGCGAAAACAACTATGTGTGCAACTAGAATTACTATAGATACCAGATTGTGCAACTCTGTGGCCATACATGTGCCAACTAGGACTACTATGTGTGTAACTACAACTACTGTGGATGCCAACAAAAAATAGTAACAATAGATCAACAAAAAATAATGTGCGCGCTGCTACGTCGACGAGAGTGTGTAGCTCTATGGTCCTGGGTGTGCCACTATGTTGCCACTCGGGTGCATCTCCCGAAATAGTGCATGAGCTACTATACGGAGGGTGTGGATCTCCGTGGTTGCTTGTATGCGACAATGCTGATGAAGTTGTGCAACTCCGTGATGATGCATGTACGACTATGCAATCGGAAGTGTGCAACTTCACGACCACGCGTGTACGACTATTCCGACGATGCGGCCTACTTGTAACACGATATGCTTCTAGTTTCTAGTAGTAGTAGTTGATCGAGCTTACAAACAATGTTATAGAGTGATTTAGGATAAGCTTTACAATCCTTCAAAATTTCATGAACTAAAAGTTACTGTAGATTGATTTAGCATGTGTGTATGAAGCATTAGTATCACCATTCTAGTATCTCCACTCCCCGCGTTCAAAACATGACCGTAAGAAAAAAGACCGTCCAGATTGACGGACCCAAAAGTTGGAGGATAAGTATGTAGTGTGTTTGGAGTATAGGTCACTAAGCAAGAAATATTTATGAAGGAGGCTTCGAGCACTTCTCATTTCTGTCTCTGTTTGGAGGATTAGGATAATCAGTAAGAGATTTTTTTTTAAGAAAAGGACTCTGCTTTCCTGTAGGCAGATCGTGGGCTCGACCGCAATTGCAGCCTCTCCAGTCGACCGAGACTGGGCGATGCGTTGGCAGCGTGCAATCAACCAGCAGGAGAGAGGCCGGTCGGTATGCAACAGGGTGCGGCATGATGACCAGAGAGGCAGAGAACACGGACAAAACGGCGGCGGCGGTCTGTTGCAACGAGCACTTCTTCCCGTTCGCCCCGCCCCTCCTCCCTCTCCGCCTCCGGCCCCTTCCTATCTCCACCCTTCCCCTGCCCTTTTGCCTTCCCCCACCCCCACAACCTCGACCTCTACCTCCCGCTCGATCATGCCACTTCAATCTGGTTGTCTGTGATGCCGGGGGAGGAGGGGCCGCAGCTGGTCATAGCATCACCAGCAGCAGGAGTTGGAGGCCGACCGTCGGCGACGAGGCGCACCACCACCAGGAGCAGCACGACAACCACCCCGGTACTGCAGCCACCTCCTTCCCCTCCTCGACCTCCTGCTACGAATCTCCAGCGAGCAGCTGGATTCCAGCAGATGCGGCAGCGGCCACCCACGGAGTGGATGGATCTGAGGCGGACGGGTGGTCAGCGGCGTCGGCGGTGATGCGGACGATGGGGGTCGAGGATGGAAGACGCCAGATGTCGAGGAGGAGCTGCGCTTGTAAGAGGCGATGCCGGAGACCGCGCTTGGGAAGGCGCCCCGACCAGGTGGCACCTGGCCACGCGGGAGACGATACGAGCCAGATCGAGCGGCCGGCTCCTGGCCGCTCGTTCTGTCCAAATAGTGCGTATGCACTTTTTAGATTTTAGGCAAAATCATATCCTCGACATTTATTTCTGATTCTCACTCATCCCTCACTAATCGAACACTACGAAAAAGAAATTCAAACTCCTAACTGCGATCCGCCGCCGGCTTGGTGGTGAGGCCGAAGCCGAAGGGGAAGAGCGGGTCGTAGAGCTTGTCGCCGTAGTTCATGGGCAGCTGGTCCACGGACCTGACCCACGTCCGCGGCAGCTTCCCGGAGAAGCCGTAGTCCCCGAAGAGCACGTCGGCGACGCCGTGGCCCTCGGTGCCCGGCAGCCACGCGGCGACGAGCGCGTCCATGGTGTCCAGGTACGGCTCGACGACGAGCGGGCGGCCGGAGACAAGGACCACGACGCACTTGACGAGCTCGCACACCTTCCTGATGACCTCAGGCCCCGGGCCCGGGATGGTGAGGTTCTGGTTGTCGCCGGCCGTCTCGGCGTAGGGCTGCTCGCCCACCACCACCACGCCGTAGTCGTACTCGTCCAGGTTCTTGGAGATGGAGCCCTTGTCCGGGTGCTCCGAGTAGTCGATGACCGTCTTCTTGTCCACCGCCGACTTGATCGCCTCAAGGATGGTCGTGCCTGCACATCGATCGTGGCCAAGAACAACATATATAAGCATCAACATTAACAGGATATTAGGGTTCATGCATGAGAGATGTGTGACGACACTGACGAGAACGACGTACCTTGGCCGGTGAAGTCGTTGCCGGACTGACCCTGCCAGGACTTGGTCCAGCCGCCGCACTGGAGGCCGAGGTCGTGGGCGTGGGTGCCGACGACGAGGATCTTCTTGGCGTCCTTGGAGAGCGGCAGGACGGGCTTGCCGTCTTTCTTGCCTTTGCCGTTCTTGAGCAGCACGAGCGACTTGCGGACGGCCTCCCTGGCGAGCTCCCGGTGCGGCTTGCTGCCGAGCTGGTCGACGAGGGTGTGGTCGGGCAAGGGGTTCTCGAAGAGGCCCATGGCGAACTTGACCCGGAGGATGCGGCTGACGGCGTCGTTGATGCGGTCCATGTTGATGGCGCCGCGCTTGGCCTGCACGGTGACGTCGGCGACGAACTCCGGGTAATCGTAGGGGACCATGACCATGTCGATGCCTGCGTGGATGGTCTCCTGGATGGAGTGGTAGTAGTGCTTGTGCGGCGGCGTGGTGATCTTGTCCACCGCCTGCCAGTCCGTGATCACGAACCCCTGCGCGCACGTACGTTCATAGATAGATATCACCGTGTCAATTAAGTGATGGAGGAGATGAAAATTGCAATGTATTTTGTTCTTGAGGATTGAAATTCATTATATATACCCTGAAGCGCATCTTGTCCTTGAGGATTTGGGTGATGAGGTACTTGTTCTCGTGCATCTTGACGCCGTTCCAGCTGGAGTAGGAGATCATGACGGAGGCGATGCCCTTGATGACGGCGTCGTAGTAGGGCGGCATGTGGATCCGCATGAGGTCGTGGAAGCTCAGCACCGTGTTGTTCTCGTTGATCCCGTTGCGAGTCCCGCCGTCGCCGACGAAGTGCTTGGCGCAGCCGGCCACGTTCTTGGGCCCGGCCACGATGGGGATGCCCGTGGGGTGGCGGGCGGCGCCCTGCAGACCGGGGATCACGGCCGCCGTCATCAGCTGCACCAGCTTCGTGTCCTCGCTGAAGCTCTCGTAGCACCTGCCCCACCTCGGATCACGGCAAACCTACATGCATCACAAAAAAAATATACGCGCGGTTGTCACGTTGACATAGAAGCACTCCGCCGTATATATGTAGCGACTAGCCATTGATCGGTTGATGTATTAATTAACAACTAGGCACGGTACTTACGGCGACGCATGGCGCGAAGGTGTAGGCGATGCCGGTGGCCCTGGCCTCGAGCGCCGTGGCGCGGCCGATGAGCTTGACCAGGTCGGGGTCCCTGGTGGCGCCGAGGCCGACGTTGTGGGGGAAGATGGTGGCGTTGTAGGCGTTGTTGTTGCCGTGCACGGCGTCGATGCCGTAGATGATGGGGATGCCGAGGCGGGTGCTGAGCGCCGCCTTCTGCATCTTGGTGATCATCTCCTGCCACGTCGCCGCCGACGCCTTCTCCGACGGCACGCTGCCGCCGCCGCTCAGCACGCTCCCTGCACATGCACATGGATCAAATCAAACCCACGCGCGCCGGCGAAGCAGGAACCGGGAGCAAAGGGAGACGACGTACCGACGAAGTACTTCTCGATGACGGCCGTGGAGGCGTTGGCGCGCTCGATCTGGGTCATCTGGCCGATCTTCTCCTCGAGCGTCATTCGGCCGAGGAGATCCGTCACGCGCGCCTGGATCGGCTGCTTCGGATCCTTGTACCGGACGTACGTCGCCCCGGCCACCGATGTGCCAGCCGCGACCACGAGGACGATGAGGAGGAGGCGCGCGGCCCTGGCCGCCGCCGGCGAGCAGCCCATCTGCGTTGCCATTTCAAACTCGAGCAGTGTGGGTGAGAGGAGAGGAGTGAGGAGTGGAGGACGGAGGCGATGAATTTATAGCACTGGGAGGGATCAGGTCGATGGACTGGTTCAACTCCACTCCAGTAGGAAACGTAGCGAGCCGTGCGCATCTAGGCCGTTGTAACCGATCGAGCAGAGAGATCGCGGCATCGTTGCGGACGGGCCGAGATGCAGCCCGATTCACTGGGGCGAGCAATCGAGTCCCGGTTCTGCTTCTTGTACTTTTATTCTTAGTACCACATCGCTTAAGTAAGGTTGATCGGATATGTTTATAATCCTGTTCGGCCAGAGAGCTATCACCGAGCAGCAAGCCCGGTTAGCTATCTCATACCTTGAAATTGATAATGATATATGCAATACTTCATAGGCGCCTCGGATATGACCACACGACACGTTGTGGGTTGCTTTTTTTTTTTCCTTCCTTTTTTTTGCTTCTTACATATGGATGGATGGATATGCTGATTTCTGGTTCACTCCCTTTTTGCATGCGTTCACCATCACCTGAACTTTTTTAAAGGACAATTTAATCTTTTCAAAATAAAAATAAAGACTATATTGGTTCCTGTTATAGCTCTTATGTAATTTTGTTGTTGTTTCTTTGTAAACAAATCTTCTTGCTTACTACTCCCTCTGTCCCAAAATTCTTGTCTTAGATTTGTTTAGATACGGGTATATCTAATACTAAAACATGACTTGATGCATCCGTATTTAGACAAATTTATGACAAGAATTTTGGGACGGAGGGAGTATTAGCATTGTTATTCCACATTTGGTAACTAAGAGAGCGTTTTATAAATTGACAACGTCCAAGGTGAGGAAAAAGTTTATTTTCCTTTTTTGTGCTTCTTATATATGGATGGATGGATATGCCCATTTCTGGTTCACTTATGCGTTCACCATCACCTGAACTTTTTTAAAGGACCATTTTTCTTTTAAAAATAAAAATAAAGACTATATCAATTCCTGTTATAGCTCTTACGTAATTTAGTTGTTGTTTCTTTGTAAACAAATCTTTTTGCTTACTATTAGCATCGATTTTCCACATTTGGTAACTAAGAGAGCGTTTCATAAATTGACAACGCCGAAGGTGAGGAAAAAGGCGGGTGCTACAAATCAACCGTCTGATTTCCTAGACAAATCAGTCGGGTTGCCAACTGTGCGATGCGTTCATATCAGCCTTTGAATAGGTCAACAGCACATGCACGCTCATTCTCCTTCGCGTCGCTCCCACAGCTTTGATCTCTTCTAGTTGTAGCAAGGCAGCAATGCGCCGCCGCCAGCAAAGCCGCCGACGAGCGCTGCATCGTACCACTCGGGCAGCCGACGAGCACTCCACTGCAGCAGCAAGCGCTGCATCGCAGCTTCGAGGGCTGCCAGTGAAGGTTATCACCAAAGATTATGTTGACAAGAGTGACCCCTTAAAAATTGCTGACGTGAAGCAATTGGTTCGGTGCATGTCCGAAGGAAGTGACTGTGTCCGAGAAGAATGAAGACAAAGTGAAGAGGTAGCATTTATTTTGTTGTTCCTCTTCTCCTTATTGAGTCATAGGACCTCTGTTGGAAAAGGCAGTGCCTAGGAGGCGCTTAGGCATGCCTAGGCGCTAGGCAATGACCAAATGCCTCGCCTAGGGCATAAGCAGAAGTCTAGGCAGAGCAAGTAAGAAATTGTCTACCCAAGTGAGAAATCATGGCATATTGCAGTGATATGCCAAAAAAGCCATATTTCAATCGTAGTAGCTGGTAGTTAACATACTTACATGCCTTGAATTAATAAAATACACATATAATAACCAAATATACACCCTGATAGTAAAAATTATATAACCGCCTAGGCTGCGCCTAGGGCGCCTAAGCATCGCCTAGGCACTAGGCGAAGGCCAACAGCCTCGCTTACGCCTACCGCTTTTTCCAACCTTGCATAGGACCACTGTACATTTAAGAGGGGTGTAGCATTCGGAACTTTGATTCTCTGATGCTAAACCCAAATCCTGGCATAGTAGCGAGATAAATCTCTTTGTGTTCCGAGCAAATACTTGCCAGCAAGAGACGGTGATCTTATTCATTGCGAGAGAATTGTCTAAGACCGGTGTTGGGGATATGACTATTGCGTATGACCCGCACTGTAGGGGCCGGGTTATACCCACGGCAGTTCATCCATACAAAGCCCATGAGGATGTTGAAGATGGAGGTTCATAGGCAAGGGCCTAAAGCCCAAGGGCGACTTAGGGCCCATAGGGGTAAACCTCCATATGTGTATGACTTATATTGTAAGGCAAGTATATTTAGTCACCGAGCCGGACACGATGTCCATGAGCCGGTCAGGACTCCGTGAGCCGCGGCGTCAACCTGTGTACATAAAGGGACGACCCGGCGGCGGTTCAGGGCAAGAAAACAAGAGATCGAAAGCTAGGTCAAGCGGAATCGCTCCCTAGTAATCAAGACATAAGCAATACCACCTCAAACTGGATTAGGCCTTTACCTTCACTGCAAGGGGCCGAACCAGTATAAACTCATGTGTCTGTTGTCCCGTTTAACCCCCTTAAGCTAACCTAGTTGCGATGGCTCCACGACTAAGTCCTCACACTAGGACATCTGCCGTGAAAATTCCACGACAGTTGGCGCTCACCATGGGGCCAGCGCACGGTGATTTTCAGTTCTTGAAGGGCAGCTTCGAAGGGATCAAGGTCTACGCTGTGGGCCGGATTATCAAGAGTCGTCGCGGCAAGCTCTACATCGACGGTGCAGGCTGAGGCCCTGAGGCCGGCTCAATTGAGTATGGGTACCGGGTCCCCTTCGGCGGAATTCACGTCTTCATCGGCAAGATCGGCGAGCCGGGCCCTGAGCCGGACATCTGCACCGACATCATCGAGACGGCTCAGCGTGCACGACCCGCCCGAGCTCAGCACGCCATGAAACGTGCCTTCGTGGGATTCATCCATGGGTCGGAATTTGAGGAAGGATCTATGTCTGGCGGTGAGACAACATCTATTCTGACGATGAGTCGTCCACGGGCAAGACTACTTCATTATATCAACTTCAAGACTGCAGGCTTGGGGGCTGTTCCGATGACGACAGTATTTCAGACCCCTATGAGCCATCGAATAGGGTCTCAATCTTCATGGCCGGTATGCAGCCCGCGCAGAATTCTTCAACTACGGCAGCAATGGTCTCCGGGTCAGCAACGGTGATGGCAGCTGGGGCAGGAGGCCCTGTGCGCCTGCCGGCTCAGGTTTTTGACTGATTTGCTGGATAATCTGACGGCCTTGCTAACAGCAGAGGTTAACCCGGCGAACCAAGTTCAGCATAACGCGGAAATTGCAAAACTGCGTGACGAGGTAGCGCAAGCCAAGGAAGACTTGGTGGCGGAGAATGCTAGGATGACTGCAGAGCGAGCCGTTTTGGATGCTCAGGAACAACAGATCCAGGCTAATTCCTTCCGGCTCTCGTTGGATCAGAACGCTTCAAACGAAATCATGAGAAGAAGGCACCGGAGTCGTATGTCGCTGGTTTACGAGGCAAGGAACCTCTTTTGCACGCCTGGAGCGGGGACCAGTAACCAACCAGAGATAAACCGGGTTGAAGCGTCTGGGGCTGGAGCACCGGCTCAACCGCGCACGACCGAGCCACCTCGTCTGAATAATACTCCGCCTCAGTATTTCCCGACACCACCGGGTCATTATTCCAACCCTTTGGATAACATAATCGTTACAGCGACACGATTGGCGGCTCTCCTAGTTGAAGGCGATTCTCCAGCTGCGGTTGAGACACGGAGGGATAGGGAGCTTCTTCAAACAGCATTGATACAGCTGGAGCCATATTCTTACAGTCGAGAGAGGATTCATTCGACCCCTCACCCCAAGCCGGAGTTATAGCAGACATATGGACTCACCGGCCGTTTCAAGCAATGATAGGCGCCGTAACCACCTGCATGGGTATGACCCGACGCGTGATGGTGCTCATGATTTGGCCGATCAGGACAGGGCACGTCGAGAAGCTGAGTAGGCGGCTCAGCACGCGGCTCATCAACATCTTCCGGTTTATCTGACGACTTCGGTGGAGGCAGGTGTGGCCTCTAGAACCACGGGTATACCATTTTTAGTGCCGGCTCTGCCTAATGAGCGTCTGCCCAAGGATTTCAAAGGACCTCGTAAGGTGCCTAACTACACAGCCGACTTACCCCCTGAGGCGTGGATTGAGAGTTATGAGATGTCCATGGAACTGTTGGAGGTCAGCGATGATGCGTGTGCCAAATACTTCACCATGATGCTGGATGGGACGACCCGTTCTTGGTTAAAAGGGTTGCCTGCCAATTCCATCGGGTCATGGGATGAGCTAAAAGCTTGGTTTATCCAGAACTTTAAAGATACGTGCAAACAACCCATGTCGATTGTGGATTTGTATGCCTGCGCCCAAGAAGAGGGCGAGTCAACGACCCATTTGGTGCACCGGGTCAAGGCTATCCTGCACTCATCGGATAACCTCAATGTCGGCTCTGCAGTCCTAATGTTAGAGAAGAATTGCCGTTTTTGCCTCTTAAATAGAAGCTAGGACGGCTCAAGCGCCATTGCAATGATATGGGGAAGCTGATGGCGGCTCTAATTAAATACGCCGACTCTGATAATACCAAGGACCCCGAGTCTGATGATGAAAAGCTAGGAAAGGGAAAGAAGAGCGGTAACAGCAAGGGTCAGCAGCATAACCCGACGAGTCAGAGGGGCAATGGTAAGCGCAAGGCTGATAGTAATTCAGACTTTGTGGCCAATACCAACACGCAGAATAATGGCCAGCGTCGTAAGGGGAAGCCACCTCCTCGGGTAGGTGGATCAGGTCTCAATCTTGAGCAGATGCTGAATCAGCCTTGCCCGAAGCATGGTACGCGTGAAAGACTGTCCAATCACCTTTGGAAGGGCTGTCAAATTATGAAGGAGTTCAAAAATTCTGATTTATTCCAGAACAAT